GTATTTCAATGAGTACGCACACGCTACTGTTTGCGTGTGCACATTTCCCATCCCTGCCTCCATCCAGCGTTAAAGAAGAGCCTGAGAGACAACTGGCCATGAAAATGACTTTATTTTTACAATCCCTTTTTCCTTTGTACATGATATGAAGCAGCCAAATCCTACCCAACCTCAGGGAAAGGGGGGGAAAGCAGCAGCATGTGGGACAGAGGAATGAAGGCAGATACAACGCTAGGCTTTTCTTTCTCCTCAAAGTGTTAAAGGGGGGCTTTGTGGATATTTTCACAGGACCCCCTTTTTTCTAGGAAATACTGAAGAAGGGTGGATAAATGAACAAAAATATTTCCCTTCTCACATGCACAAGTGCACCCCCCCCCCCAACATGAACAGTCAGAAAAGCATCACATGCAGGGCCCACAGTCCCCATCCGCACATGAATTTAGTGTTCACTGCACTAAAAGATGGCTCTGCAGGCTACGGCGTGCTGGGAGAGGGTTGCCTTCCTCTAAATATGGGAGCCCAAGAGCAACACAAGCAGGCAGGACGCAGCAGGGCAGGGTCACCGATGTGTCCAGAAGCCAGTCTTCTTCTTGACCACCCTGGGCAAGGGAAGCGGAGAGGAGATGCCCTCCAGCGCTTCAGGCCTCCTGCTGCTCCTGGAGAGATTAGGAACAGAACCATATGAAATCAGAAAGATGGGAGATTTAAATGCAAGGGGAACTGTGCATGTTGCAAGGCTGTGGGCCCATCTCCACTGACCATTTAATGCAGTTTGCAGCTACCTTCAAATTGCAGCAGCTACAGAATGAATGGCCACAAAAGCATGCCCCAATGCAGGCATGGGCGAACTTCAGCCTTCCTGGTGTTTTGGACTTCAACTCCCACAATTCTTAACAGCCGGTAGGAATTGTCAGGATTAATTTAGTTATGTATGTGTTTTAAATGTGCTTCTATGTATTGCCAAGATGGATGCCAGTGTGAATTAGAAATGCTGTGCAGAATGTTTATTCTATGAGGCTGTGATTAAGTGAACTTGAGAAAAGTAAGATAAGGTTTGCTCTTGCTGGGAACAGAAGGGAGTAACCAGTCACAGCAAGAAAAGATAAGCAGATGAGAAGAGGCTTTCGGTGTTGACTAGTTCCTGAATTGTAGCTCGCTGTAGTAAGACGTGTCTGTTGAATGTGCTTAGTAAACTTAGTTTCTTTTGTAACTCAAAGCCTGCAGAGTCCTTATTTTACAACTCAGTGTCTGCTGATCTAGCATTCCTTCCGCTGGGCATCGTCTGACTCTGACAGGAATTTTGGCATCTCGTTCAGATGCATACTTAAAGACTTTGGGCTATGGACTATTGATTAAGAATGATGTCCTGTGTTCTCAATACAGAGAAACTACATCCTATCTATAACTGAACTTTAATAAAAAATGTGTATGTATACCGAATTAATATGAGTAAACAGGATAGATAATGAAAGCAAAAAGGTTTTCCCTTGACATTAAGTCCAGTCGTGTCCAACTCTGGGGGTTGGTGCTCATCTCCATTTCTAAGCCGAAGAGCCGCCATTGTCCATAGACACCTCCAAGGTCATACGTACTTAGTACTAACTCTTTTTTTTATACTGGTTTTAAACCACTTCATTGGATGTGTTGCAATAGCAGATTCCCAGATTAGTTTAGTGTTTACACCTTATTTTATTTTTCTGGTTATTTAATATTTAATGTTTATTTTACTTAAGTAATATTGTCTTTACTGTTCTAATGTAGCTCAAATCCTATGTAAAATCATACTACGTATTTTTGACATTAATATTGAAATCTGAAATATATACTGAAAGTCTTTACTTTCTGTATATATTTACATTATATTTACATGACTGCATGGAGTGTCATTACCTTCCCGTCAGAGCAGTACCTATTGATCTACTCATATTTGCATGTTTTCAAACTGCTAGGTTGGCAGAAGCTGGGGCTGACAGTGGAAGCTCACGCTGCTCGAATTCGCACCTGTGACCTTTCAATCAACAAGCTCAGTGGTTTAACCCACTGCGCCACTGGGGGCTACAACAAGATATGTTCCTTTTTTAAAGAAGACTTTGTTTTTTGTTCTCTGAGTGCATATTTTCAAAACTAAAAGGTTTCAAGGGAAGATATATGTTTTGGGCAATTGCAATTTCAACTTCAAAGAAATATTTTAAAACTCTGTTAGCTAAGTATGTGTATTTTTATGCAGTGGCATGTCTTTGTCCCTCACAGTTCAAAGACATAGTTTATCAGTTTAACAGCTGAGTTACCTGTGTGCCATTATAATAATGCTTGTGAACATCACTTGTTCAAAAGGGTTGACTTCTAACAAGGTCATGCCTTTCCTTGATTAGTGGTTTTCAAAAAGTGATCTCCAGATGGTCATGGAGATTCACATTTGTCAAAAGGACATGACATCGTTTTTCTTTTCAAAAAGGTTGTGAATGTCATTTTTCCAAAGCTAACCACCACCCCAAAACCTTTCAAGTCAAAGAATTTCTGTAGTGCAAAAGAACCACGAAAGCACCAGCCCTGGAGTTTCCCTATGTGCCAGCAGAGAGCAGCACTGCCCTTCTTTCAACCACAGGCATAGTTTGTTTTCTCTGTAAATATGAACATATAGTCGACATTCATAAATTACATGATGCACGCATCTGTCTTACAAAAGTCCCACTCCCTGAGTATTCGGGATTTTTTGGCATCTCATTCAGTTTATATAAAAGCAAATGCTTTCCAATATATAAATAGTGGGCAATCCTTATAATAAGGGATATGTTTGAGGGCCTTGGCCTTTGTAAGCTGCACCGAGTCCTTCAGGAGATGTTAGCAGGGTACAAATAAAATTAATAATAATAATAATAATAATAATAATAATAATAATAATAATGATAATAATAATGATAATGATAATAATATGTTCAAGCCCTCAAAGCAGGGGCATCTCTTAAAAGCAAGGACACTCAGCAACCTTGGGCTCAGTCTTTGCGATATATGGGGGATGAAGGGGAAAAGTCATTTTGGACAGGATGAATTCTGATGGAGGAGAAATGCTTTCTTTAAACAATAGATTTGCAGGATGTGAGGGTGGCAATGAGCCTAAACTTTGGCCCTCCAGGTGTTTTGAGCCAAAATTTGTCCATGCCTGGTCTAAAGGGAAGGGAGATGGAAGCACTTTTGGGGGAAAAGGGGGAATTCTGGGGAAAACAAAAACATGTCCAGAGAAAACATCAGCCACCCCCCTGTCTTGTTAATGTGAAGGAATTGCTGACAGTGATCTTTACCTTCCTAGACAGACACAGAGAAATGTGTTGGGCGAGTGGGCTTATTAACAAAAGACGCTCCCCATAAATGTACAGCAGAGTAACTTATTAGCAACAGCGTGACCCAGCACCAGTAGCCCAAAAGTGATAAAAAGAACAAAAACACACAGACCAATGTTATCTCTTTTTTAGGAGGCTTTTCTTTATAGCAAAATAAGCGTGATTGGTGGGGACGAGCCTTATTGATAGTGCAAATAAAGTTCTTTATACTTCCTTCTTTGCTTCCATGCTGGGCTTCTTTCTTATGCAGATAAGCAGCTTTGCTCTCACAGAGCCTCTTCTCACACCAAACTTACACAGGAACTTCACACAGTAGCTTTACACACAGCAACCTTCACATATGAGGCTTTACAACCTGGGGCTTCCCTCACCGAAGCTTCTCACACCAGGTCTACCTCACACTGTGAGACCTCTCACAGAACAAGGCCTTTCTCACAGTATGAGGCCTTCTCTCACAGACTAAGGCCTACCTCACACTGTGAGGCCTTCTCACAGACTAAGGCAGTAGTTCTCAACCTGGGGTCCCCAGGTGTTTTGGCCTACAACTCCCAGAAATCCCAGCCAGTTTACCAGCTGTTAGGATTTCTGGGAGTTGAAGGCCAAAAACATCTGGGGACCCCAGGTTGAGAACACTGATCTACAGGATCACAGTCTCCCATATAACCTGCCCTATACCACTTAGATCATCTGATGGATGTGTTGGTACCATATATACTCAAGTATAAGACGAGTTTTCCAGTCCTTTTTTAAGGCTGAAAAAGCTCCCCTTGGCTTATACTCGAGTCAAAGTAATTTATTATTTTACTGGGTTATTATGACATTTATTATTTTACTCTGTTATTATTATTATTATTATTATTATTATTATTATTATGACATTTATTATTTCACTCTATTTATTATTATTACTACATTTATATCGTTCTACTCTATTATTGTTATTATAACATTATTTTACTCTATTATTGTTATTATTACATTTATTATTTATGCTCTTTATTATTATTGGAAGGATATGTAGGCACATTTACATTGAAGGTTAGAATCATGTTTTAATCGTAGTTGGATGGTCTTATCTTAAATTACAGTTTTATGTAAATATACAAATATACATTTAACCTAGTCAATTAATGTAATTTTATTGGTATCTAATTTTATTTTGGAATTTGCCAGTTGCTGCTGCATTTTCCACCCTGGCTTATATTCAAGTTAATACGCTAAACTTTTTTTGTGCTAAAATTAGGTGCCTTGGCTTATATTCAGGTCGGAGGATATAGGGCAGTTAATTTTTAACATTTCTGAAAAAATGGACAAGCATGTGAGGAATGGCTGTAAAACACAGAAAGAGAGGGAGAGAACCAGTTCTCTGAGCTGCAACAGATTTGCAGGAATGTCCAAATGGAGAAAATAGCATCCAGGAGGAAGAGAGGAGGACTGGCCAGCCAATAAGGCAATCTAGTTAACATAAAGGGGTAGAAAAGAGTTGTGCAAAGAGATGCGTCTGGCACTGTCACCATCATGATCGGAAGGTGACATCTTAGAGGCGCTCACCTTCTGGATGTCAGCAATCTCTCCCTCAACGGGCCCAGTAGCCAAGGTCCCTGTCGCAGCTCCTAGGAAGACAAGATGAATGTCAGAGTCAAGGAAGAATGGCCCATGAAGTGGAGGCTCAATAGTCCAGTCAAACTGCCTGCCAAACCTCCTGTCCCTTACCATTGTCATCTTGATTGTCTGGTTCCTTCTGCACGGAGTGTTTGTTCAGATTGTCTACTTCTGGCTCCTTGCTCATCTCCGCCGCTGGGGCTCCGGGTGCAGGAGGTGCCTCTTTTTCCAACACCCCTGCAGTGGACTGTTGGGATCCTGATCCAGATGGAGAGTCAGTGGAAGCTGGCCCTAAAGGAAGAGTAGGACAGGAGTAACACTTGAAGTCAACTTTTACAAGAAGAATGGTCAGAGACATAAAGGACTGTCATAGGGAGAGCAACCAAATTTGGGAGAAACACTCTCATTATTATGTTTATTTATGTTGGAGCATGTAAGAAATCAGTTAATGTGTGTGTGTGTTAATGTGTGGAGCCCCTGATGACGCAGTGGGTTAAACCCCTGTGTCGGCAGGACTGAAGACTAACAGATCGCAGGTTCGAATCCGGGGAGAGGCGGATGAGCTCCCTCTATCAGCTCCAGCTCCTCATGGGGGACACGAGAGAAGCCTCCCACAAGGATGATAAAAACATCAAATCATCCGGGCGTCCTTGCAGACGGCCAAGTCTCTCACACCAGAAGCGACTTGCAGTTTCTCAAGTCGCTCCTGACATGACAAAAAAAACCCTGTAAAATAAGATGCAAGAAGCTGATTGGTCGGGCTATGTCCAGGGACCTGGCTGAGCCTGGGACTTTTGGTTACAGTTACATTTTTCAGGCTTTAGCTATGCAGATGCTTGCACAAAGAAGCAGAGAGAGACAGAGTTTGGAGTGTGCTCTTGCTTCATGAGCTTCTGAAGGAGATTATCCACATGGACAAAGAAAGACCATATAAAAATCTCTCATAAAAGGAAATTATGTGAGTTGATACAACTGATCACATTATTGTAAATATGTTGTTCTAAATTACGAAGAGTAAACTATTTGTTCTTTACTGTTCATCTGCGTGGTATGTTTTCTTTCTCTGGCAAGGCAGTGTGTGGGCTGATCAAATGTGAACTACGCATGATTGTCATTTCATCACAATTTATATTCTGCTTTTTCTCTCCACAAGAGAGATTCAAAGCAGAGAAAGGCCCCTCCTACACTGCCATATGAAATCCAGATTATATGGTTTGAACCGGATTATATGAGTTTACCATATAATCCAGTTCAAGGCAAATAATCTGGATTTTGCATAGCAGTGTAGAAGGGGCCTAAGACGCAAGCAGAAGCCAAGACAAATGTTATAGCCCTGAAGGGATGTGAATCCACACCCTCCCCAAATAAACTGCAATACTGTAAGGTGTCATTCTCAGGGAAAGTGATAAGTATCAAGAAA